TTTTTTTGTAGAGTCCATTTAGACTTTCCAAATATTAAATTACAGTGCTTCCAGGATATATGACTGTTCTGCAAAGACACTTCCCACATACTTTTAAACTCAAAACATTGATAGTATCTCACCCTCTCCAGGAAAGCCTCTCATTCTGATTGGAAACTCGGAAATGTGTGATTCATATACTAGTGAATATCTGAAAATATATTGTTGGTTGCTCGGAGAGAACAAATTGCAGTAAGGATGCCCTTCAGTCATATCATACCTAGAAGATGTGTTTAAAAATGAAATCAGACATCTGTGATACCTACCAATTTCAAAACTACCATCAATAACTCCCACCAGTGAAGAAGGGATTTCGAACCTTCTCTCTATTTGAGTGATGGTGCTCTTCAGATAGCCTCCTGCCAAGGCTTTGGCAAAGTAAACGAAAGACAAGGCACCCAAGAACACCTGGAAAATATGACAGGTCACACTTATTCTGGCTCTAGCTTGACACAACTAGAGGCTTACTAAACAAACAAACAAAAAACCAAACCAAGAACAACTTAACAAACTTGTTATTGAAGATTTCATTCAAACCCTTTAGCCTCAAGCTCATGTAGGTTTCTAAAAATTCAATTTCTCTTGGGAATAACAGATTTTCATTCAGAACGTATGTTGAATTTCTTCTCCCCCTCCCCCCAAAGGACATTCAAAGGAGTCTTTGAACAGAAGTTTTATCATATGGTAAAGCAATGATAGGAAGCAGCCAGTCGTAGGTAAGGAAACAAACAAACAAACACAAACAAAACAAAAAACCATAAATCAAACACTTAACATCTTATCATAAGTCTATCATTCATGATTGTGTGTTTCACCTTGATGGTGCAAACACCCACAGAAAACTTAATAGACTGCAAAAGTAGAACTACCAGTCCTTGTGTTTAATTAAGTTTATACTCTAAATTCATACTCAAATTCTTATTTGATGAAAAACATTTTTTTGGCATCTGGCTGATGTACTCTGGTAGACCTGGGTCTGTGCGAGTGTATCCATAGGGTAGGTTAGCATTTATATGAAAAAGGCATAGACATTTGTTGAGTGAACGATTGGCACAAAGATAGAGCAGGAACTTGGAGTCACAAGGATTACCATTTAAAAAGCAACTCCTCTGTCCCTAACTCTGTGGCAAGGAAAGCCAACTTTTTCATTTATAAAATGGGAATACTGTGGATGGTCCATGGCTTAAACGTTAAAACTGTGTTTGGTATAATATCTGGTACATGGTAAATATTTAATAAATACTAGTTTTTGTTTTTGTTTTTTTCTTTCTCTCTCCTTTCTGTTTAGAAGGACCATTCAGATAAGCCAGGAGAATATTATTTAGCAATTCAACCTACATGTTCAGTCAGAGTTTGCTTTCACTGCCTGGCAAAGTGTGGTTTTAATAAATTGCATCTAAGATCACTTTTTTAAGAAGAAAAAAGTTATTTCTTCTAGCTATATTGTATAGAAAATATCTAGATAGAGAGCCAAGGGCATTGATGCCACTTAATTCTTTATTATTGTTTAATTCACCACTTATAGTTTCTTTTTTTATCGTTTAATTGTTGTTACCTTTAGCTCACCACAACATGGCTGCTTCTCCTCTGAGGAGGAATATTCTGTTTTAAAGGAAGTGCTCCCAACAGGTTGTATTGAATCTTTGCAGAATAACTGGATATTTTCCTTGGATGAAGTGTCCATTATGAAAACGTTTCTTGACTCTGATCTGGCAAAATTGATTTTAACAGTAAAAAGCAGAAAACAAACAAAAAACAATATTTCATTCAAATTCACAGTTTATTAAATAATATTTTTATTTCACAGTAAATCACAATGCTGTAGACATAATTTGATGTGAAGGTGCCTTATTGTGCCACGGTAGGTTGGCAACGTTTTTCAATTAAAATTGGCCAGGATGTTTGATTAACTAATCCTGCTATCAGGACTCCGTTGCCAGCATTCTTTCTCAGTCCCTCCATTTTAAGCCTCATTACAGCAAAGAACAAATTTAAATGTTGCCTTTGGAATAAATAATGAGGCAGAATTTTGTTAACTTTGCTGTCTTGCCAGCTTAAACTAGAAGCAAGCAGGAAAGGAAGAAGAGGAATTCAACCATTTGAATATTGCTTCATTAGAATTAAGTCTTTCACATATTTAAATCTATTTTCTTAGCAGAATGGATAGAAAAATTGATGCGCGTTGCAGATACTTATAGCATACTGTGATTCCTATATCACAGTATCACTGCAACATCCAAGTCTTAAAATATGGCAAAACAAACAAACAAACAAACAGAAAAACAGACCAATTTTTGTATCATTTTAGTTTGACAAATAAGGAAACAGCAAAATTTGTGCCTCAGGCTTAGATTTAATTCAGGCAACATTAGTCTTTGGTTTGCCTTAAAGTAAGAAAGATGGTCTCCCATCCTATGTTTAATTTCCCACCCTCCCTGTCCTTACCAAACCCTGGACAGGTTCACCTACTCTGAACCTATTTTATCCCTGTTCATGTCAATATTTACATGTCTTATGCCCCGTTTCTTTAGAATTTCACATGGCTCAGTGCCTGACTCGGAAAGTAATCGAAGTGAAAGAATTCAAAATTAAATGTTATGAATCACCCTAATGTTTATCAGATGATGCATTTGCATCTTCATAGAGATCTTGATCTTTTATATTTTCATCATACTAACTAAAGGAATAATGTTAGAAGTAAAGTTTCAAGCAGTGTGGTAGAAATATAGATTTATTCTGCCTATGTGTATATTACTGAGGTAAATATCAGAAGAAAAACCTAAGCAACTTAAAAGTGGAAGAGATTCCTCCAGGGATTGGGGAATATGTTGAGAAGGGTGTGGCAAGGGCATGGTTCAAAAAAAAAATCATTATTAGACTTTTAGATTATTTGGTTTCATAAACATGTATAACTTTAACTTTTAAAATATGGACAAAGGAAAGTGAGTGAAACAGCAAAATATGAAAAACCCAAAAACTAAAGTAAACAAAGAGTTGATGCTAAACAAGATAAAAAAACAAAGCCACAAGAATACAGTATTATTAAGATGTAATATAGATGCTTAGAAATTTAAAACAAAAATAATATATAATATAGAGGAATAACCTTAAAATTTTGACAAAATGAATAACTTTCTAACGAATATTAATTACCTGTATTGACACAAACAAAAAGAGAAAAATAGTCAAGGAAAACATTCACAAAAATACTCTAAAACTAGCTTTTAAACAAACATAATAAGACTAGATGATGTAACAGGAGTGCTTTATCAAGAGATATAATTTGAGGAAAGATAGCAGATAATGGAAACAACTGATAATAGTCTCTATTCATCTAACAAAGCTAGAATTACCTTGATAACAAAATTTCATTAAGATAGCACAAAAAAAGAAATCTAAGCCTGCTAAATCTAAACTAGACCACATCCAAACATGCTAAAATCCTAAATAAAATACTAGTAAGTCCAAATTAATTAATATTTTATAATTAAGCCAGGTTTAAAATGTAACAATATTAGGAACTATGTTCATCTAAATCACATTAAGAATTCAAAATATTATATATGTATATCAAAACATCATATTGTATACCTTAAATACATACTTTTTTTATTTGTCAATCATACCTCAACAAAGGTAGAAAAAATAGAATTCAAGATGAAAAATAATAAAATCTCAGTAGATACAAAATAGCAGGTAATAAAATTCAACATCCATTTCTGCTTTTAAAAGAAAAATTTTAAGAAACTAAGAATACTGAGGTTCCTCTTTACCTGTCTGAAACCAAACTCCAACGTCACATATCCATTGAGTCACTAAAACTTCTTTTTCAGAACATTATTTTGCCAGAACAATAAAAATGGGGTTTGGGAAACATTGAGTTATACAAAACTACTGAGTACTTTTAATTAAACTCCTGGAGAAACCCATTGCTTATAAAGAAAAAAAAGCAAAATAACTAAATGACCAACAAATTATGGCATAGTCATGCAATGAAATCTTTTGAAGCCCTTAGAAATTAGTGTAAAGAAGTAACTATATTATATAGTACTATATAATTATATAGAACTATATTTTCATCACAGAGTTGGTTTTAAAAATATATTCTACTAAACAGTATAAATAACATTCTATTTATAAAAGAAACACACATATATTCACATATGCATATGCACAGAAACAAAGGTTAAGAAACTTATTAAGAAAAGGTTAACACTCATTTCTGGTTGATGACACATCAGGTGATTTTTAAAAACTGTTTAAAAACTTATTTTCTAAAACAAACACCAATTTCTTATATGAAAAAAATATTTTAAAATATATAAAAATATCACCAAACAAGAAATGTATAAACCTGGAAGATTTTAAAATATAAAAAGAATATTATATTTACTAATATTATAGTTTAAAATGCAATCCTCTTCCAAGAACTAAACTATATAATATAAATTGACCTATTGCTTTAAGAGTTCAGATATATTATTTCCCATCAGACATAGTATTATAGCCAGTGACCAGAAAATGCAAATAAATTGCTTAATAATAAAATTACTATCTCTAACACTAACTGTATCTCTTAAAAAGATTAAAAGGGTTAATTTAGAATGAATGCTGATGCTAAAGAGATAAAAAAAATCATGTTGAAATTGATATTAAAAACTTGAGACAACAAGACATATTATCTTCTTATATTTAGAGATGTTGACACAAAAATCTAACTAGAATTCAGGAGTGATAACAAATATGAAAGAACTATAGTCTCCTAGTTGATGTTGTGTTAGGGCAAAATGACATCCAGCTTACAATCCTGACACTGCATAGTTTTACTGAAAATATAATTTCACCTTGATGACTAATTTGCATGTCATCTCAAGGATAGCATGTTTCAAGGAGGCTACAGTTTCAGAGCACTGAACTTTTCATCCTTCTGTGGAAAGAGGGAGAAGAAGTTCAATGACACGAATGGGCAGATTCCGGGGGCCTGCAGGTGCTCTATCTCTTGCTCTCTTTATTTGCAATTGCAGAAGTGGAGCGTGAGCACACAGTTATTTAGAAAGCTTGCATTTGGCAGATCCTTAATTGTTCTCCTACCTCTTGAGCAGATTGCTCCAGGAAAAAAGTCATAGTAAGGTTTTCATCCAACACCCTGGGTTGGAGTAGAACATTTTGGCAGCCAAAGAAAAATAAGCCAAGCAGTTTATCTTCATTTTAGTTTGGAAAAAAAAAAAAAAAGATGGAATGGTCTGTTCACATGGGTTTGAAAATCAATCCTCCGGTCTTTACAGAACTCACATGGCCTAAGCAGGCTATAGCTTGAGTACACAAATGCACTGATCCTCTGTGTCCTGATCCTCTGACAGACTATCCAGCAATCAGCCTCCCATGACTGCCACGAAGTGAGAAAGGCCACCACTTCCCATCACTCTCTTCTCTTAGTCATCTCACATGAGGAAAACCTCTCCACTAGCTTGTCCTCTGGACACCAGAATCCCTCCCTTCAAGAGGGAAAACAGCCTCATGGAACTTGCTAAGAAGGAAAGCATTTTCCTTAGAAAGCTGATCCTCCCCCACCCCCCCAATACAAGTAATTGTTTGTGTCAGATTAAGGTTTAATAGGTACTATCTATATGCCAGATGATTTATGTAGTTTTGGCTAATCTTTCAAACAACTGAACAAGGTTAGCATTATAATTCCCATTTTAGAGAAAATGATGTGGCTCATAGCAGTTCAGTAACTTGTCAAAAACTACCCAACTAATAAGCATCAGTCAAAATTTGAACCTAGAGCTGAGTATATCTAACTTCTTTAACAAGTCTCTCCTCCTGGTTCCACCAAACTAACGAGGGGCCCGACTTTCATGGAGAAGTGTTACGGAGAAGACAGGAGTAGTGCAGGACTCAAGGGTTTATTAACCTCTTCTCTGTGAGAATCTGACGTGATAGCCACAAAATAGGAAAGCAGAGAACCAAATCTTACCTGGAGGTGAAGATCAAAGACAGCCAATTCCTCTCAATGAGCTCAGCAAAGGCCTGGACCACCCTCCACAGACTGAAAGGACACTGGTGAATGCCACAGCAGCTCGGAGCAGTTTTGCCAGGTGGGGAGAGCCTGGATGGACACAGACAGAGCAGATTAGGGGAAAGAAAAGATGAAGGGCATGGTCTCACCCCTGGGCAACCTCTTTTCTTTCCTCTTTCCTCCTGGCCTCTTTTCTCTGGCAGTCGGCAGAGAACAGGCCACGCTGGCAAAGGCACTGACGTGCATCTCAGCTCCCAGGGCACAGAAAGGGCTGAAGCCTTTGAGCCATTTCTTTGCAATTTGCTGCAAGTGTAAGGCCACACGTGATAAAGCTTGCTTTATGGGAGAGAGTGGAAAAAAGAAAAGACCACTTGTGATCTTACTTGCTGATTCCCAGAAAACACAGCTCTGCAGGGGGCAGAGGGTAAGGGAACAGGAGCTGGAGGAGGGACGGAAGTTTGTAACAAAGATCTCTCCTTCTCCTTCCAAGAAGTTTCTAAGCCAGCCGCTCCTTGAGGACATCCCTGGGATCCTTCTGTTAAAAAAAAAAAAAAAAGTCTCCTGGGCTAATTGGTTTCTTTTCCCACTGAGATTCTAGAATCTATAGGGACTAATATCAGGCCAGGATCAAGACCCTGCAGAGTTCTCTCCAGAAAGAGTTAATTTTCAAAGAGACATGATCTGTTGCTCACATCCACAATTTCTGAGTCTTAAAAACAGAAAAAAAGAAAAGAAAAACATTGACTTTTTGGCATTTAATTGTTTATTCTATCTAAATTCCAAGAAAAGATAATTCCTTGCACTGAGAAATTCTACAATTCTAATAAATTATTTTTCCAAGAATACTATTTTAGAGGATTTTGAGCAGTATTAGCTTTCATTTGGTTTATACTAATAAATGAATTTGCTACTGAAATTATCCAAGATCCATCATATTCTTAAGTGGCTGTGACTCTGGCCTGGTCACTTAATATTTTGGAGTCTCGACTTCTTCCTTTGTAAAGTAGAATTTTTATGGG